TGGGTGGGTTGAATAGGAATTGATTTGTGACATGGAATAAAATTGTTGAGTGGTACACGCCAGAGATTGGACGACTAGAACGAGTTGATAATACAATAACACATTCAAAGTGAAAATATCACGCTATTATCTCCAAGGGTGACCAGATGACCAGTAAAAGGTCACGTGTTCATTTTTGTTAGTCGTGTCCTTCATCTGGAAGAGGCGCATTGGAGAAGTGGGGGTAAGGCGCTTGGCCTCCTAATCAAAAGGTTCCCAATTAAAATTCTGGCGAGATTAGGATTTGTAGTGCGCATCTGAGTCCACCCAGCTATAATGGGTACCCGACATTCGTTTGGGAAAAGTAAAGGCGTTAGGTCGTTATGCTGGCCACATGACACCCTCGTTAACCGTAGAACACGAAAAGAGATGATCTTTACATCATCTGCCCTATAGACCGCATGGGGTGAAAAGGGAAACTTTACTTTTTTTTTTTTTTTATACTTTTACACCCGATTCTTGTATAGCAAACTTCTTTAACAAAAAAAGATCTTTCAAAACATTTTCCTTTGTTGTGTTAAGTTGGCCTAGCACACTTAATAACTTAACACTAGTCGACCCACGGCGTAGCATACGCCGCTATTTAGTGACGGATGAATACAGAGATTACTTATTCTCCCTTCCCCCTCTCTTTTATTTCTGAGCCTCGCTCTCTGTCGCCGCGAAAGTTACGTGGGGTAACTCTAGTCCGACTTACAGAAATGAAAGAGTTATCATTCCATGACTTTTTCATGTAGGGTTAGAGAGTCGGCGTGATTGCGTAATGTCACGCGTGGTTGGGCCAGCATAAGAATTATATATAGAGAAGAAGCTGAGATTGGTCCAAAGGTTGGCTTTGTTGTCCAGTGCTTACCTGTACATAATAATAGCAATAATAATAACTAGTCGACCGGCGGCGTACCATACGCCGCTATTTTGCAGGGCCGGCCTTAATGCGCTTGCAACCTATGCGACCGCAGTGGGCCCCGCACTTTCATAGGACCCGCACTAATTCAAGGTGTAGAAATTATTAAATTAAACCATTTTATAACTTAAAAAAAAAATTCTCGCGCCCTCCTGTCAATTTACCAGGAGCACTTTCATAGGACCCGCACTTTCATAGGACCCGCGCTAATTCAAAGTGCATAAATTAATTAATTAAACCATTTTATAACTTAAAACAGATTTCCCGAGCCCTCCTGGCGATTTACCAGGAGCTCCTGAAAATCTCCCGAAATCGCAAAATATACAAAAAAGTTCTTAAAATATGCGAAAATATATAAACGAAAATTGTCATTTTGGGTGTCATTCAATATGGAAAACGGCAATCTTAAGCGCGACATTATGCATCAGCCTTAATTGTGTAATCTATTGAAAGAAGCTTCTCGCCTCTTAAACTAATGAAGAATTACTTGAGGTCAACAATTCTCAAAGATAGATTGAAACATTTGGTAATTCTTGCTATTAAGCGAGATCTATGTAGGAAACAGAATTATTATGATATAGGCCTTCTGTATGACTTCGCTACACGCAAGGCTCGTAAAGTATTTCTGTACGTAGTAAAGAATGAATAAAATGCATAGACGAATTTATTTTCTAATTCAAACTCTTAAATTTCACTTATTATCCCCTTCCCTACTCAAACTTGGCCCCGCGAAATCCGATTCGCATAGGGCCCCACAATGGGTAAGTCCGGCCCTGCTATTTACAGAAAAATGGAACCTCCCGCAGGACAAAGGGGTATGGGAGCGGGTAGGGTTTTACAGTTAAGCGCGCAGTCAGTCATCCGTAGTGTGAATACTACTCTTGTTTTCTCGTGAACTAACCGCAGAAATAAGAGTGATCTTTCCTTTACTTCTTGTTTAAACTGTTGAGGGAAGAATTATATATATATAGATAATAATTTTATTTTATTCCAACTTTGTGATTACCTTTATTTTTTGTTATATTTTCCAGACAAGAAAAAGAAGTGATGAGAATGCTATCAGAGCTGAACCAGACAATTACAGGTGTGGACAAAGGTGGCCAATCTAAGGATGTCCTCCGGTTTGTTTCATCTACTTTACCATGGCTGGCCAAACTGGACGCGCTGGGGAACTACTTTACCGGCGGAAACTTCCTGGGTGCGAATAAATACCACCAGAAGTACACTCACGGCGTCCTGTCTATTCTTACCCACTTTCAAGACCTCGGCGGAATTTTCGCGGATTGTCTTCAGGATGTTGCCTTCGATCATCGTCAGGCTGTATCCCCGGAAATGACGTATGAAAACCGCTTTCTTTGGGACAGATCACGTGACGGAATATACCGGCACAAGCACAAGTTCAAGCTCCACTACGGTACAGCGGCATTTTTCTCTTGCGACGCCCTTGGAGTAGTCAGTGATAAAAAATGCGGGCACGTGCTTCTCATGCAGGACCCAATTCGGATGGCCATGGCTGAATATGGCTCCTGTCATGTGGAGCTTCGAGATGACCCCTGGTGTAGGCTAGCTCGTTCCCCTGGAGTGAGTGTTGAAGAATGGATCATCGCCAGAGGAAATCCAGTCTTTAAAAGTCTAGTCTACAACCCTATTTTATGTTTGCACACCAAAGCGTCCTGCGAAGAGAACCTCCACACGTTTCTCGCAAACTTGACCTCAACCATCAACACAAACCTAGTGTCTTACATCATAGGCAATCTAGACTCTTGGTTCTCCGTGGTCGGCCTTCACGAGCATCTGGCAGACTCACTGGCAATGCTGCACCATGTTACTAGGCTTCCTCTCCACCAGTGTCATCAGCTTTCTCACCTCGCCTCCTCGGTGCCACGTCAAAAACCTTTGGCCTCAAGCAGGCACTCAAAGCTGCCCTCCTTGCCATCGTTGGTAGAAAACAGCCAATCAGATGTCTCGTTTTTAGTGGAGCTCAGTGTCGCGGAGAATAAGTTGATCTCTAGTTTGCCGGCGCTGGAACTTCGACAGTCCGCTAACAGTGAGTCTGATAGAGATCGGACTTTACCTGATGTAGACGTGGTTGACTTTGACGTCTGGGAAGCCAACCATCAAGAAAATAACAGCATTATTGTTGACAATGACTCAGACGTTGACATGCTTCAAAATGAAGACAATTTTAAAGACTTGAATCTCAATGATACGGGTATAAGTGATGACTATGAAGATTACGATAATGATGAAGATGAATCACAAGAGAAGCTCAGAGAAGTAATGGAGGATCACCAACTGACTTCTGACACCAGAAGATATTTAGAGACCAACAGACAGAGAGAGAACTTGTATATTAAACTTTCCAGAAATCAAAAAGTTCTGAATGCGTTGTCTTTGGACCTTAGCCTCTACGAGGCAGTGAAGAGACTATACAGTATTCAGTCACGTATCTTTTTTAACTCCATCCACCATTGACAAAAACAAAATGTTTTAAGAACAAATGTTTTACTCAAGTCAGAGCTTAAGTGAAACTAAGTTTCTGTCACTGTGATATTGACATGATAATGGCCTGGTCTCTCTGCTCTCTTGCTATTCCAGCAAAGTTCCTAGAGCTAGTGAATGGCAGTTCTCTGGGTTAGCCAATGTTTATGAGGGAATCAAGTTGACGACCCAACAATTCCAAAACAGTTGGTGCCAGGAAACTGATTTGAGTAAACCATACAATTTGGGAAATCAATTCAGGCTTACAATGCCTGATGTCCAGGCTTACAGTGCTTGATGTCCAAGCCTACAGTTCCGAATAAAAATCCCATAATTTCCAACAGACTCAAAAAAGGTTTGCAAAATTCAGACTTAAACATTGATCCATATTTTTTGTACTAAAATTTTCAATAATGCTGTTTTAAGCAGTAAGTAAAAGTGCAGAGAGTTTTTTTTGCAAGTATGTACAGAAAACCTTAGCAATGGTTCTCCAGTCTGTCACACTAATTACTTTATAATCTATCTGTTTTCCTTATCGATTTAGTTATTTTCATTTAATTGTCATATTTAACTAACCTCTCAGACCTATCTTCAGTCATTTCAACTTTCTCAGAAGGGAATTGATTTCAGATGTTGTATTCAAATGAGGGTAAAAGAAAAGTCTATTGACTTAGGGTTTGGAGGGGGGATGTGTTTGGCTTGTCTGGGGAGATGTGACAATGTGTTCTATTCAAACCTAGTCTGAGAATTGTTATGAAAAAGAGGATCCCATCCCTCTTTACAAGACTTTTCTGTGTGTACTGGTGTTAAAAGTATTTATAATTTGAACTAGCAAGAGTATTATAATTGCATATAATTTTTATTATGTTAGCCCACATCTTCATATACCTTGTTATAATCTTATCTGTCATTTGCTCATGAGTTGTTACCTGTGTTGGCATTGTTTTAGTTTAAGTTTTTGTGTTACTATAACACTGAAGTGGCAGAATCTGTGCAGTGTAGAAGTGGGGGGGGGGGGGGGGGGGGAGAGAGAGCAAATGTTAGTAAGGAGGGGGAGAAGAGGGTTCACACCAAATATACTTTACAAAGAAAATGGGGGCAATGTTGGCTGAGTGGTTAAGTATTCAGCTGGGATTCTAGGTTCAAATCTCTGTGCAGATTGGGATTTTAATTTCTGGATCCTTAGGGTGCCCCTGAGCCCACTCTAATGGGTAACTGACTTTAGTTGGGGAAAGTAAAGATGGTTGCTCGTTGTGCTGGTTACATGACACCCTGCTCATTAACCGTTGGCCAAAGGAACAGATGATCTTAACATCATCAGCCCTATTGATCTCAAGGTCTGAAAAGAGAGCATTATTTTTTTACATTAAAGACTTAAATTTCAGTGAGAATGTAAGCCATTGAGATGGAAAAAAGGAACCCTAAGAATATTTAGAAAAATTTTTTTAAACTATCGGAAGGGTGAGAAGAGACAACTTTCCTAAAACCTGCCACCGAATGTGTATAGCGAGTTTGTTATCAAAACTGAGTGCAATCATAACACTTTTAAAAGTGAAAAGAAATAAACACAAGAAAGATTATTAGAAGTTTTTTTTTTTTTAATTACTTCATGTTATGTGGATGCAAGTGTTCCTTCAAAAAAAAAGACCATTATGTCCTAACACAAACCTGTAGGATGGCAGAATGTCAGTCAAGATTATTGTTGCATTTATCAGACATACCTCAGCCAGGCTGTCTTCCATGCAACTACCATGGCCTAACATATCTGTTGTTTTTTTAAACGATCAATAAATAATTGACTGTGTGCAGTCCCTAACCCACTTAATAAACATATAGATCTATTTTATATTTGTATGGACAGTAAATTTATTTTTTTAAAAATAATTTTAGGCTATTTGTATAAAAAATTATTAATTCTTCTGACACCAAAAAGTTATTAAGTTAGAATACGAAATACTCCAGGGAACTAATTGAGAAAGGTAATTTTCCTTTTTGATTCACTCTCCCCAAAAAATTATCAGAATTGTGATGAATTGAAAAAATTTTATTAATTGAATAGTCAATTTGAGAAAATGTATTCATTACTTAAAGCTGAACCTACAATCACAGTAATTAGTTGTAGATCTAAGACATTCACACACAAAAAAAAGTCAGCCATTTAGATACAGACCAGGTTTTAACTTAACTTTACAGTGTACTCAGATCTAATATTAAATATAATCCTAACAAGCAATACTGATCAAAATCTATGTTAGCGAGTGCTTCACTCCCACCTATCCTGTTGAACTGTTGGGGCACCATACAAAGGAGTTCTTAACAGGTTCAAATCCTCTTTCAAAAGCCCTGGACAACCCAGTGGTTGTTTGCAATGTATGCAAGTCATCAGACAGGTCAAGACCTTGTACTTCCCAGACTTGTCAAAAACCAGAAATCAACATTAGTGCAGTATTCAACTACACTTGTCAAAAACCAGAAATCAACATTAGTGCAGTATTCAACAACACTTGTCAAAAACCAGAAATCAACATTAATGCAGTATTCAACTAGTCTTGTCAAAGGATCTAACCATTATATTCTACTTCTATGGCCAGATAGCACTGCCTCATGGGTGGGATTTAATATAGCCCGCAAAACAAAGCTTTGTCATAAGATAAATAAATACTAAGGACAGGCCAAGAGCTGAACCATTTAATTAGTGTTTATGTACAGTGTAACAGCAGAATCACAAGAAATCCAGTCTTTCATTCTTTCTCCATTCAAGACAATTATTTCTATTTCATCAGAAACAGAACAAAGCATTCTAACCCACACCCTTATACACACCATGACAAGTTTTACCAACAGCACACATGCAGACACACCACAGAATAAAAGCAATAAATCAATCTTTGAGCTCCACAATCTGTTTCTTTCGCTCTGGCTGGAACGGAACAGCTCCAGGCTTGCTGTGGAATCTGCGATTGCTCTCTCTGACGAAAAAAAAAGAATTTAAATAAGATTCTAAAACTAATTACTATAAGATCAAACTAACAGAAATGAATGGATTATTTGATGATTTGTAAAAAAAAATTGATAGTATCACATTATAGCAAGCGCTCCCAGTCATTTCATCTTGCTCCGAGAATTCATCTCATTACTGTTGTGGAAATGCATTTTACAATAAAACTAGAAAAAAATTTAGTAAATTAAAAAAGAAAACAGAAACAGGAGAATGTGTTGCCTGTAAAATGGCCAAAAGCCCCCAACAAAATATCAAGTGTTGAATCGATAAATCAAAACCTCATTTTTAGCAACGAAAATGAAGATGCTTTAGTACTCAGTGTGCTATGGTCTAATCCCCCTTGCGGACATGTGTGTGTGAGGGGGGGGGGGGGTACCTGGGAGAATGTTTCCTTGCAGCCTACAGGTGCTCGGGAAACACAACACAGTTCCAGTCTGGATTCAAATTCGAACCCTTCTTGAAAGGTAGAAAGGTATTCAAGCGGTTTTAACAAACAGCGACTTTTCTTGCCAAATATTGAACATAGTTACTAGGACTTAATAGTTGCATGCTATACTATTTAGCCACTGCATCTCAAACATCAAAAAGAAATATAATGCTTTATTATTATTGAAATGCTGTTTTGTTTAAAATGTGTACACTAATTTACTAGTTACAAAAATAAAAGGGAAATAGAAACTGATAACTGACTTTCTCTTTTGAGCCTCTTTGATTTCTCTGAGTTCTTTCCTTTGGCTGAAGATGAGTTTAGGCAAATGCCTGTGTCTAGAAATCCTCTTGATCTCTGGGTGGTCTTTGAATGTTCTCTTCAAGGTTTCAGCTGTATTGAATGCTGTCTTCTCTCTTGGTTTAAGCTAAAGCAATAGAAAAAATTAAATTTGAAAATTAAAAAAATGTGGCCCATGTATGAATGGGATAAAAAAAAAAATGTCGAGGGGCCGTGTGAAAACCCATACTCCAGTGTACAGAAAAAACAACAACAAAAAAAACAAAACATTTTTTTTTTCATTAGAAAGTCGGAACTGCGAATGTTAATGAACCACTATAGCTCCTATTGTACAATTTGTTCTTAGACCAAAGACTAAAGACAGTATTTTCTTTTCCTAGTTAATTGTTTGGCACAACAGCTACTGGAAACCAATTAGCATACGAAATCTGCTGCAATTGGAAACATTCTGATAATAAAATTCAGAAGCAGGTAAATCATGTTAAAATGTTAGTAAAATGTTTTAGATGCTTCGGAGTTGAAGTCCAAATCTCCCGCTGAACAATAAAGGATGGAAGTGGATAGGGTATGAACCCGGGACCATTGAGATAACTGAACTACAGTCCAGCATGCTTACCCCATAGCCAGGCAGCCATCCATACTTATAAGTATGTGTAAGCATGGGAAAGTCCAATGGTAGCACAATGGATAAATTGATGCTAGAACAAATTAGAGAAGAAAAACTGCATTGGTGCACAGTCTTAGCAAGAATGATAAAGATTTTTCAGTACCTTGCAAAAAAAAATAATTAAAAAATAGCGCACTTCATGGGAAAACAGAGAACCTGTATGCGACAAACAATGGTCAGCTTTTAGACTAGGTAGAGATGCTTGACTAATTTGACCTAAACATGCAAGAGCATCAATTAAGAATGCCGAGGCTCACAACCAGTACCTAGGATATAGGATTCAAAATGAGCACATGGAATATTGTCCCATCATCCTTGACTGCATGCAGAGGTCTTTTACATAGTGATCCAAAAAATAAGGTGAACACTTTAAGTCTATGTAGTTAAAAGGCCAATGGTACAGTACTTACTTAAGGTACTATGTTTTGTAACAAAAATAAAGCATTCAGCCTTAGAGGTGGACGATTTCATTAGCGTGACGTGGTACGATGCGATATAGTCTACTCTTACAGTTAAGGGCTACCCCCTATGACATTCGCCCAGGGCCCCGCACACTGCTAAGGCCGCCTCTATATCTAGCCATTATGTTAATTACAAATTATGGCTGTCAATAGCTAGTTTATTTAACCATGTTCTGCTAGAAAAATAGGTGAAAAATATTGGTTACAAAAGTTCCTTTCAGACCTTGCTATCTATAGGGCAGATGATGTAAAGGTCATCTGTTTCTGCCCATGGTTAATAAGGGTGTCATGTGGCCAACACCAAGACTAAATGCAATTACTTTACCCAAACTAATGTCAGGTACTCAATAGAGCTGGGTGACTCACATGCGCCCTAAAGATCCTGAAATAAAAAATCCAGTCTTCATCAAGATTCAAACCTGGGATATCTAGGTTCAGAAGCCAAGTGCTTTCTCACTCAGTCACCACGCCTCCATTTGTCAATTTACATAAAAAACAAGAAATATGTTCTTCTGTCATTTTTGGAATTGCTTATATAAAGTGTATTTTTCATGCATAGCATGCTCAGAGTGCTACAGTCCAATCTGTTTTGAGGACCAGTGGGATCTGGGAGAAGGTTTTCCAAGGTGCTGCCTTTAGGTGTTAAGTAAATACATAACTGCTCGAGTCGGGTGTCAGGCCTTGAGCCCCCTTGATAGGTATGCTTCATAACTTAACAATAAACAAAACATTTGAATATTAAAATACTTGGAAAGACACGTGAAAAGCTGAAATATTTATTGGTTACTGCCCTTAATTTTTTGTATGCCAAAATGTTTAAAATAAGTCTATTCTTTGTGAGACATTACAGCCAATAGGACAGGAGAAGCTTAATTCACCAGTTTGTTGCATGCACATCAGGGAGATAACTCGCACGCCAAAAAGACACTTTTGCTTTCCCAATAATCTGGATCCATTAGAACTTGTTGGACACAAAGGTCTTTAAGGTTAAAAAATATTTTTAAAAAAAACAAAAAAAACACTAGTTCCATTTACTATTCCACATCTAACAGCTAAACCTTATTATCGCTACATCCCAAGTCATTTTAATTATTATAACCAGAGTGCATACATTTTTAAAAATCCAAACAGATGAATTTTTTAAAAAATCCATACTCACCACACCCAGTTTCTCTGCAGCTTTAGATTTCCACAACCTGACATTCATCTCATCAGAACCTGACAGGATGTACTTGTTGTCCATGGACCACAAGATGTGGTTGACACGCTGCATACGCTTTGTAGTGTAGACATCTCTGTGTGGAATAGAAACAGTCCATTAGATAAGTTGATACATTTAATTCTTACAAGTTGTTGCATCTGCTAATTCTGAATGTTTTATGTAAAAAAAAAACATAAATTCAAACTCTATGGCTACATCACAAGGTCGTCAAGGATCGTAAAGACCTTCCTTCAGGGAACAATATCAGGAAGAAGCAGATAGGAAGCGGAAGTGATGGGACGACAACATAAAAGAATGGACAGGTCCGTCATTGAATGAAATTCTATCCAAGGCAATGACAGAAAGGAATGGAGAAAGATGGTTGAGTCTTATGTGGTGCCCCAACAGTTCCACAGACAAAGGGATAGGTGAAGGTGAATTTTGAAATATGTTTTGGGCAGTACTTCTTGAGCCCCTCTTAATGTCAGCGAAAAAAAACTTAATGTATATTAGTAATCAACACAATCAAGCAAGTCTCAATAATTGTTGAAGAAAAAACCCTCAAGATTTGAAAGTCTCACCTGCTATGACCTTCCACTGCATTGAATATCCGCACAGCTCTGTCATAGCCTGCAGTGGCAAACTCTTTACCTGTAGGGGCATAGTCGACATCCATCACTGCAGAAAGAAAAAGCACAGAAAAGTGGTGAAATATAATAAAAAAGGAAACATCAACAGACACACTTCAACTCAGGTCAAAGTTTGAATGTTTTACTGCTACTTTAAAGTTTGAATGTTTTACTGCTACTTTAAAGTTTGAATGTTTTACTGCTATTTTAAAGTTTGATTGTTTTCCCATTCATACAGTTTGTATGTTTCATCAATATTATTAGGTTTGAATGTTATACTTCTATTATAAAGTTTAACTGTTTCCAAGCTATTTTAAAGTTTGAAGTTTCATCTTTATTATAAAGTTTGAATGTTTTATTGTTTACATGTTTCTCTTTTGAAGCTACAATTAAGGATTTCAAATTATACAATAAATATTATTTCATCTGACTTAAAATTTCAGACAGTCTGTCCATTCCTCTCATTTTCTTTGCCATCATGAAAGTCTGGCAAAAAGTTAGGCCTAGACCTAATCATTATCTGACCACAGGTTATGGTTTGCCTTCTTCTCATGATGAATTACATTATATGGTATCACTTTACAATGTAGTGCTTAAAGCCGTAACCTCTCCTTACAATGTTAAGCTTTTTGTGAATCACCTCACAATGCAGTGCCTATAACTAGGCACACAGTTGTGCACATGACAGTCTCAATGTGCAGGCTTGAAAATGTTTTTGAGGAGCATCTCATTTCCTAGGACACAGACTAT